TCAATATTATGGATGTTGAGTGATTTGGGCATTAGGTGTCTGACCCTGCAATCTTTATTTGGGCAATGTTCTTGGTGAACCCATCACCTCACTTCCTTCCGCTCCAAGTGCAAAGTGTATTTATTTGATCTGCCTTCTGTAACCTGAATCCACAGTAATATGAATATTTATTAAAGAAAGAGGAGACCCTACCAAAACAAGGCACTCCGCTGCACATGCTTCTCACATTGGGAAGAGGATGAGAGAACAAACATGAGACAGAAGTTAGTCATGTTGCTTAATACACGCTAATGGAAGATGCTGAGGTACTGTGGTGATTAGAACCTACATAGGAGAGTTTTAATAAGAAATAGAGCTTTGAGCCTGTAAAGTGGAGTCTTATTTTGAAAAATGTCTAAAAATGGCAACATGACGTTTTCTATGTATTGTCTCAGTGATGGTTAGCTAAATCTGTCCAGTTTGCATGTAAAAAAGCAATTTTTTGGGTCTAAGCATGCCGGCCCTGGCAACTTAAGCTTCATTCTTTTTGGCTTGTGCATCACTAGTAGTCGTCTGCAGTAGGCGTTTAGTTAACAATCCTGTTTATGTGCAAATCTGAATAGAATTCAGCTCCCTCTCCCATATTGCATCGGCTCTGCAGAGCTAACAACAATAAAAAGTAGTAAAAACTAAGTAAAAGGTCAGCAGCTGATTGGCAGAGTAAGCAGGTGCCATTGTGCATGATCATTTTTCAGTGTTAAACACCTTAAAGTTGAATTTGTGGCACGATCCTGAATGGTTTACATAGTACAAATTAAATGAAGAGGTTCTATGCTTGTGTTTGACAACACATATGCAACACATATAACAACAATTATATGTCCGTGGTCAGCAATTGCAAAACCAAAAGGGGAAAAAAATTCCATGGACGACTCCCCAAGGTCAATGCAGAGTAGCTTTGTACATATCACATTGTCTTTTCTCCTGTTTGTTGGAAGGAAATGAAAAAAAGTACCTTGAGTTTCCTGTTCTCCAACTAACACAGTGCTATCAATATCTGCCCTGCTTCTCTCACTCTCTAACACAAGATACAATTGTTTGGGGGGAGGGAGTCAGAGTGTAAGGAGATTAGAGGCAAGATATCCACTTGGTAGGGGAGCAGTTCTGCCCCTATAGTGAAGTGCTGATGATCGTGCCTGCAGTCTGGAGTAACTCAGCTCATGCTCCTTCCACCTGTGCTAGCAAAGGGGGGACAGAAGTACTTGTAAGTAAAGGGGGGCACAAGAAAGAGCAGTGGGCTCTGGAGCACATTCATTGCCTTGGCATGCACAGAGGCTGTCTGCAGATGTACCACAGGATTTGGCTGGATTGTGAGGGGTGGTTAGGGTAGCATGGGTCAGAAATGAGAAGTAGCTGCTCTGAGGATTTCTGATGAGAATTAGACATGGGGCATCGGTTCTCACAGGACCGGCGTCAGGCATTCTGCTTTGCACGCCCCCCACCCCCAACACTTAGAGAGGGATCATGTGCAGCCAGAGAGGATTAGCCCATGAACCCTTATGTGGGAAGGTTTCCTAGACTGCAGGGCAGAGGAGAGATCTATCCATTGGGATGGCTGTGGATCAGTGTGGTTATCTGCTTTCCCCATGGATCCTTGGGAGCTAGAGCTTCTGGTTAAGGAACATCACTATAGTATTTACATGTTGACTTTCTCTCCTTACATTGCACACCTAGGGAAGGTTCAGGTTTCAGAGTAGCAGCCGTGTTAGTCTATATTCGCAAAAAGAAAAAAAAAAGAGGACTTGTGGCACCTTAGAGACTAACCAATTTATCTGAGCATAAGCTTTCCTGAGCTACAGCTCACTTCATCGGATGCATGCAGTATTTTCCACTGACTGCATCCGATGAAGTGAGCTGTAGGTCACTAAAGCTTATGCTCAGATAAATTTGTTAGTCTCTAAGGTGCCACAAGTCCTCCTTTTTTTTTTTTTTTAGGGAAGGTTCAGTTACTATAGAAAAGCCAAGGCAAATAAGTGCTTTACCATTACGTTTGAAGGTGGACAGTCTAGCGGTCAATCATGGCTCTTATATGAGGGGAATGAATAGCTGTGGCCAGGATCTGAGAACGCTTGGTCCCTGTTTCTGTGAGTTTTGACCTGAGGAGCAGTTTGCTAGATCTATGGAGGGGGACAATGAAGTGGCAACTTACAAAGTGAAACTCTATAGAGTGTCTGGGGTAGTTTTTCTCTGCAAGATTCCTCACCATCCCCTAGTAATGACCATGGCAATGGTCTTTGTGGTCTATGATACTGTGCGGGGATCTTATGACATTGGGGAGTGGGGCATATTTAGCTATGGATGATGTATGCAACAAATATATAAGTGACAAAAACATTCCCTGCCTAGGAAGTTATTGAACATTTACAGCTAGGGAAGAGAATGTGTAGGGGGGAATTTCCCTGCCTTCCCCCAGTAAATCAGTTACTGATGTGTCCGGGTAAAATGTGTAATAGTCAAACGAGAGAGTGCAGACGGTGCATGTGCAAAACTTCAGATCTCGTTTGCTTCCTGGACAAAAATTCAAGGCAAATACACACGTGCGTGCATGCACACCGTTTTCATTCAAATACAGTGCATACAAAAGTGCCTGGACATGGTGATTAATTATTGTTAGAAAATTCTAACCCATGCCCTAGTGTGAACGGGAAAGTGGAACCAAGCTTTTGAGTAACATTTTTTTGGTAAGATGGAAGTATTCACATAAAAAGGAAGCAGATAGGTGATGTTAGGAGGCTTTCTGGATGTCTCTTAACTGTGCGCGCTCAGTGCTGTGTAGTTTGGATCCGATCCTGCTCTGGCAGGAGTTTTGTCATTGACTTCAATGGGAACAGGGAAAGAGAGAAGTCCTGGTTTTCTAAAGTGCCTAATGATTCTGGTTTCAGAGCAGCAGCCGTGTTAGTCTGTATTCGCAAAAAGAAAAGGAGTACTTGTGGCACCTTAGAGACTAACCAATTTATTTGAGCATAAGCTTTCGTGAGCTAGTGAGCTGTAGCTCAGGAAAGCTTATGCTCAAATCAATGTGTTAGTCTCTAAGGTGCCACAAGTCCTCCTTTTCTTTTTTTTAATGATTCTGGGTGCTTCAAGCGGCGACACCTTAAACAGGCCTGATTTTCGGAAAGGGCTGAGCTCCCAGGCACTTTCACCTGCAGTTAAATACAGTCCCAAGCCCAGCAGCAGGGACAGGCTGAAAAGGGGGAAGTGACACCCCTTCTGGAGCTGTCTAGTGCGATTTAGAGCCCCCTTTCCGCTGGGAGTTTCCAGAGGGCTCTATACACGGGTGGTCCCCCAGTATTGCGGACCTCACTGGGGGGGCCCGTCCCCTCTGCTGGGTGGGGAGCAGCACTGCCCTCTTGTGCCTTTCCCCAGACAAGGGCGGTGCAGCGGCTTCCAGGTAAGGGACACGTGTCCCGGTGCTGCCCCACCTCTGCTTTGCGCCCTGGCGCGGCGAGCCGGCGGCAGCTGGAGACCGAGCCGGGCCGGAGCCCTCGCGGAGAGAGAGCTGGCATCTCGCGGCTCCGCGCAGCGCAGCCGGGGCGCTGCGCCTGGCGCAGGGGGGATTTTCAGAAGGCGGCTACGTGGCTGTCCCCCTGGCCGGAGAGGAGCCGGCAGAGGCTGGGTCTGGCTGGAGCTGTTCAGCAGCTGCCCGAAGCCCGCAGCTTGATGATTCATCAGAGCTCCGTGGTTCTTACGCAAGAGGCGATTCAAGGCCTTGCTCTAGGGGCAGGGCTTGGGCTTCTCGGTTATAAAGTGGCTGGGTTGGTGGCCAGCAAGGCAGAGACAGCTAGGGCAGCAGCTGTGAGCACCAGCGCTCAGCCCGGTAAGGAGGGGAAAGGCAGCGGCTGGCTCCCTGTCTGCAGCCTGGGGGGGCGTGTGTGCGGCGTGTAGATGTGTATACCTGTGTGGGGGAACTCGCTTTATAAGCCGGGCTGCAGTTTTTCAGGATTTATTAGTTTCATTTTGGGGATGGGGGTGTGTGTTTAACACTTTTTGAGTTTTTATGCAGATGTCCAGCCATCAGAGGCTTTTTCAGGGCTTTCTCTTTGTACACGCTAGTGCAGGGAGCGTGTGTGTTACTCGTGACAGTAGAGCACACTGTAAAGCGTATGCTCTTTGTCACATTCAAACCACGTTCTTAAAGCACACTAGGGACACTTTAGAGCACACCAGCAGGGTCAACGGGGACTAATTATGCGCAATACATTAGTGTGCTTTAGAAATCATACCCCCTGGAATGCACATTAGTGCTGTGTGTAGACAAGCCCTTAGATACAAGTAACCATTTCCAGTATTTTTCTGCTGTTTATTGAGTAAACATAACTTTATTTATTTTTGTAATGGGGTGTTATAGCAGTGTTTATCAGTGAAAAGCTAAAATCAGAAGCCCTAGAAATACAGGACAGGATAGAAAGTAAGGTTTGCATCAGTCTTTTTTGTTTCATAACTGTTTTGTACTCTTGTGTGATTAGGACTGATTTTTATGAGTGAGCGTCATATATGTCTGTGTATCATATATGATCGTGTGTATATGCAAACTGTGTGTGTGTGTTTGTCTAGAGAGAGAGGTATAGATATAGCAGACTGATTTTCAGAGCGAGTTGGAAGCAATCAGCACCTTTGCAGACCAGGCTGATGAAATATGTGTGACGTTCTCCTTGACTTTCAATGAGACTAAGGCTCCTAAGTCATGTTGTTAAATTAGGGTAACATTTTCAAGTGTCATTTTTATTCAGTAAATTGTAAGAGCTTTAATATGGAATTACAAACTTTATTAAGCAGATGGTTTTAAGCTGATAGACCAGACTACTTGCCTGGCAGCTTGTTCTAGTTTTTCTAGTAGAAATTTGTATGTATCAATCGCAGAATTCTTAAATATTCAGTTAGACCCTTGATAAAAATCCATATAACTTTTTCATAGACTTTTTTACTAAAGGCTCAGAGGTAATATTTAAACTGGTGTAGTTCAGCTACAAGGGAGGGAAGGATAGCTCAGTGGTTTGAGCATTGGCCTGCTAAACTCAGGGTGGTTGTGAGTTCAATCCTTGAGAGGGCCACTTAGGGATCTGGGGCAAAAATTGGGGATTGGTCCTGCATTGAGCAGGGGGTTGGACTAGAAGACCCTCTGAGGTCCCTTCCAACCCTGATATTCTATGATTCTATTTCTTTTTAAAATGCTGAATGAAATCAGGTCATAGGGTAACAATCATCATATTAGTCACCAGCAGGGGTTTTACCCAGGATCTCTGGAGCTAAGGCCAGACTTTCAACAGCTTGAGCTAAAGGACAAAGTCCCCTAGTTGGTAGCTGTAGCAGACATCCTCTGTGGATCAGGCACAGAAGGGGATGCGTAACATACACTGAGCAGTGGGCAACAGTAGCATAGGGGATAATTGTTTGCCAAATGTCATGCAATTATGCCAGTGCAAAAAGAAGATCATCTCATTCTTTGCTCCCTCTGTCTCTCATCTTTATGCTGGACTTGACTTTGTCAGCTCCTAGATACACACAACTTCCTCGTGTTAAATGTTTCAAAGGCCACCTGCTGAGTAAAGAATTCTTTGACTATTGTGTCTGACTCCCTATTGCTCTCTCTAATCCAGATCGTTTCAGAAAACTCTGAATCATCCTTGTCTGACTGTTTTCTTCTCACATCTCCCTTTGTCTGTGAATCCACCTGCTGCACATCTCCAGACTCAAGAGAATTAAACTTTACCTTAGAGCTCTGCTCTGCCAAAATCCTTATCCATGTATCATTTCTTCAATGTGGCTACTGCAATACCCTCTTCTATGTTCTCTCTAAATCCATAGGGGCCCATAATGACCAATGACTCTAACTCCAGGAAGTGGAGCCATATAGTCTAAGGCGGTTCAAAATTGCCCGCTCTGACACATTCTCTGGAGTTCCCTGGGGTAAGCTTTACAAGCCTCTGACTGTCTTCTCGCACCCACACTTCTCATCTGCTCTAGGAACCTCATTCTGAGTGGATCGAGGTGACCTTCCTTTCACACTCTCTGTTTCCAAGTCACTGAATCACTTCCCTTCCTAAGACCCCACCTGTACGACACAACGGCCCAGTGTTACATAACTGACAGTGCAATCATGTATAACATTCTTGCATTCCAGAGCACCCCGTGAATGTTGGATTTGTGCCCCCAACTCTGGGGCTGATTGAATATTACTGTTGAGATCCCAATAAAGAGGATCTCTGCTTATTTAGGCTGGATCATTTAAAATCATAGCCAGGACTGAGAGATCTCAGCCCTTGGTGAGAGGTTGTAACTCTTGTTCTTCTTGGGCTTCTTCTTTTGGACACACCGGGATCCAAACAGAGCATCACTTCTGTGTAGGGATATTGACAGCATACTGGATAAGAGGTGTCCACTAATAATTCATGCTCTTTACTGTGTGTCTTTCTGAATGCAACAGAGCTGGAGCTTCAGCAGAAGTTAGCATCACTGCATTCCACGAGAAGAGAAGCAGCCCAGAAATCATTCTAGGGCCCAATCCAAGCATCTGGAGACGTCTCCAAATACCATGAGTCCTAACCCTAATACCACCCTCTGTGCTATGCTGTCCAACCACACACTGAATTTGAGACATTCATCCAAGGTAACATCCTGTTTGCTCTCGATGTTGGTCTAATGTGGTTTTAACAGGAAGGGGGTAACCAAAAAAGGCTCCGTGGCTCTCCAGACCTTTAGTGAAGCCCCACCTTGTTTCTCAAAGGGTATTAAATTTGTATGAAAATGTTAGTGTCTTTGTATTTTATGGAAAACCTCTCCCCCTCCACACACCCCAGGGCCTTCAGTCCTTAGCTGGAACCTCATGTTCTAAAAGGCTCTAATTGTAATTTTGTCCCATCTCAACGTCCAACTCATTTATTTTCTTTTAAAGCTGCTGGGATGTTGGTAACTGTCAGGACGTTCGTTAAATCACTCTGCTCCTCTTTTAGGGTTCTGTATCTGAGTGTCTTTGTTTTCTGCTTTTCGTGGGGCTCATGTCTGGTAAAATTCCCTACGTCACTGCAAGCCGGGGAAAACCTGTAATCCCAAAGCAGCTCTATTCACTCAAACATTGCACTTCACATCCTCGCCCCATTCAAGTCAATGGCAAAACTCTCCTTCAGACCAGGGAGGGGCACTAAAGAGGGATATGGAGAACATATACTCGTGCAGGGGTCTCAGTGAATTTGGCTGCTCAAATAGGTCTTTGTCTGCAGTGTGCTGTACAACACACAACATGGAAAGGCCCTGCCCCGAAAGGCTGAGAGCCAGCAGGGACAGGAGGGCTCATGCTGGGGAGCCCAGAGGGAGGAGGAATGAAGGGGATTTTTAAAATGGGTTTCAATCACTTCTTGTGGGCATGGCGAGAAGCAGGTCTTAAGGAGGCCTTAAGGAAGTGGTGGGTTAGTGAGTCAGGATGGGGGGGAGGGCGGGTGCATTCCCTGTCTCTGGGGCAGCATGGAAAAGTGAGTGGGAGGAGGAGCTAGATGGGGCAGATAACACTGTGATCCGGAACGGTGACCCAGTGGTAATTGCGAGAGGCCATTCTGGCACCCAGCTGCTGTTACCGTGAGGCTCCTCTACGAGAGGGCAAGGGAAAGGCTATAGTTCTTTGTGTCTCTTTTCCCTAGTGGGTGGTTACTGCCGTGGTGCTTTTCCTGGCCGTGTCTCGCTTCAGCGCCACTCCCACCTACCCGCGGAAAGACCCTGTGACTCACAACAGAGTGGTGTGCCACCAGTGCCCGCCGGGAACCTTTGTGGCCCAGCACTGCACCAGGGACAAACCCACCGTGTGCTCGCCCTGCCCAGACCTGCACTACACACAGTACTGGAACTACCTGGAGAAGTGTCGATACTGCAACGTCATCTGTGGGGAGCGGCAGGTCGAGCTGCATCGCTGCAACTCCACCCACAACAGAGTGTGCCGCTGTCGGCACGGCTACTACTTCGAGTCCGAGTTCTGCCTCGAGCATGCCGAGTGTCCCGCCGGGTCTGGGGTGGTAAAGCTGGGTCTGTATTGCAGCCGGATGACTGAGCCCAGGGGGGTAGAGCTGTGTCTAAGGGCCCTGTATAGTCTCACGCTATTGCTGTCCTGTCGGAATCCAGCAGGGACCTGCTAAGTAGCAGTAGCGGAGAATCTGGTGTTACGCATGCGTATTCTCTCACCCTATATATGGGCACCGCTGCCCTCTGCTGGATGGGATGTCAGATCCACTCCAGTGAGTAAGAGAATGTCGCCATCTAATGGCTCTGTCCTCTGAAAGAGCAGCAGCCTACTACTGTTGTCCAAGTATAGCTATTCCAATGGTTCCCGCTAATTTGGCCATCATCTCGTGTGGGCACCCAGGGCTGAAGGCAATAAGGCGAGTGGGCAAGGAAGGTTCATTGTACGGACCAGAAGGGGTTTGCTTGGTGTCTCAATACGGGGACAGCACTGACAGATGAACTTAGCCATGGGGCTGCTTTCTGGAATCCTTATTTGGTGATTTGGAAAGCACGTATTAAAGATGGAAAAGGGGCAAATGAAAATAAGACTGATATTTCCCCCTCCCCCTCAAAACAGCAGTTATGTAACAAAGAGCATTTAAGGGTGACTCAGAAGTGTAGCTCTCTAGCTCTGCATGACGTGTGGATTACTGAAGGATATTAGGGAGTTTTTATTTTTTCCTTAGCACAGCTCTGTCTAGTTGTTATATTACCCCCTTTCCTGTGGTATTTGAGGGCTTTCCAAAATTACAACATGTATACAAAGATGTATTTTTCTTTTTCCCTCCCCACTACAGTCATCAAGGACTAGCCTCTATTTATTTTGGATTTAAGCTGCAGTTTTATAGTAGGCAGGCTTGGTCTAGCAGTGTGTTTTGCCTCCTATGCTGAAGACATTGAGGTTTGTGGCTATGTTTCCCTGGCAGTCTCCATGACGGCATTCCAGATTCATAGGCCAGTCACCAAGAAAGTCCTGTCTTCTGTACACACGAGTCTCATGCGTGAGGTTGATGACTTGTTCCCATGGAATATGGCTATTGTGAGATGCCACGATTAGGCATGGTGAGCTAGGTGCCCAAATCACTTAGGCCAGTTCCATGTAGGTTGAGTTTGACCAGGTGCTCAGGTGACAGTGATGAGGGCCATATAAGTAGGATGGGGAGCCAGTGAAGGGAGTGAAACAGTGGGGTGATGGGCTCCTCCATTCTGCACCAACTATGCCTTTTTTAAGGTTAGTGGCTTCGTACCAAGCACGCTACCTTCCTACCCGGGGAATGACGGTAACAAAGCCCAGAAGTCATGAATGCGAACCACAGTGAGGTGCAGGCAGGCATCTCGATATAGCTGGAAAAGACATTTATTTTTCGCATTTGCGACTACTTGGATATCCAGAAATAGGGAGGAGTCCGGGCGCGCACTGACGCGGTGGGCTGACATCACAGAGATGGCAAGTTCTTCAAAGGGCTTTGGAGCAGAACATGGGCTGCATTCTTTGGAGCAGTGACTCCTGAGATCACAGATTCACCCGTTAGTTTCATGTACAGGGCTCGTTGGCTTCCGTAAAGGCTGAGCGCTCTGTCCAGTGTGGGGTTTCTCTTGGCACACTGGCTGTTCTCTTACGATTTGATTTTCTGCCTCATTTGTTTCTGATCATCAACCCGTGAGTCAGGTGCATCCGATGAAGTGAGCTGTAGCTCACGAAAGCTCATGCTCAAATAAATTGGTTAGTCTCTAAGGTGTCACAAGTCCTCCTTTTCTTTACTCGAGTCAGTGTTCCCAACCCAGCTGGCTGGGACCCCAATATTGGGCTGTCTTGCAGCCAGATCCTAAGTTTGGTAACTGCTCATCCTCCTTGAAGGATGGGGACTGGGCTCAGGGCAGGGCCCCTTCTCTGATCCTGTGAATGATGTGTACGCAGAGCCTAATCTCTCTCTGACATCCCCTTATGCCCAGAGGGAACTCAGAGCACTGCCAGATGCAGACTCTTAGGGCCAGATTCACCATTGCTTTTCAACTTGAGCACTCATTTACACCAGCGCACAGTGGATGTCAGACATCTGGTAGTGACTTGCGCTTACTTTACGCTGGGGCAAATGACTGCGTAGGCACAGGACAATGGCGAATTGGTCCATCTTCTTTTACCGTGTTCCCTAAGGGGCCATTGTCCCAAACACAATGGATGTGTACTGCAGGTATTTCATTGCTCAGACTCTTTCTGTGCCCCGTTTTGCAGGTACTCCCTATCAGAACACGAAATGTGAGAAGTGCCCCCACGGGTTCTTCTCATCCTCCAGCTCCAGCACAGAGCCATGCAAGCCACACCAGAGCTGCTCGCAGCAGGGGAAAGAGACTAATGTCGTAGGAAACCAATTCCATGACACCCTGTGCACCACCTGCAAGATGTTCAAGGGAAACGGAACCCAGGAGTCAGGTGAGGAGCTTGGTCCCCTTGGGGACGGAATAGCATTAGCGGATGTAGAGTGGGGGATTATTCAGGTCTGCCTGAGTTGGGGGAGGGAACCTATGTGCGAGAATCATGTTGCTACCAGGGCTGGAGTGAAGCTTTCTGGTGTAGGTTGTTCTACCCCAATGTATCGGATCAGTTCCAGTGGAATTTAAAAGTACAAAATTGGTTTTAATTAAACTACAAAGAGGACAAACTATTCGCCCCCTAATTCACTGAAAGCTTGGCTAAGATCATCTTAGACAGGGTCCCCTGGCACCCTCTCCAGCCATTGTCTCATTCAATTAATGGAACTTTCCTTGGCTTTTACCTACCCCTGTTTTCCTCCCATCCCGATCTCTCAGTCTAGCTGTCAGGAAGATCTCCCTGCTGGCACCTTTTCTTTTTGCTGATCTCCTGCCCCTAGATAGTGCCTGCATCAGGGCACGAGGCATGTCAGAATCAGCCTGTTACATACAGTCTGAAGTAGTAGTGAGAACATGTTGTTCTGAAGTATCTGGCACTGCCCTTCTGGCAGCCCAAGACACACAGCACTGAATCATGCAGGAAACTGGAAATAGATTAGGAGTCTGCAACAGGTGCAGAAGTGGTGTGCCGCAGACAGGGCAGCTTTGCTGCCTCTCCCGACTGCAGCCACCAGTCTCTATTTTTTAACTTGTTTTAATTTTGGTTTCACTTCTAGTTAGTGACTCCTTCCCATTTAACCTTCATTCTCAAACTGACCCACTGAGGCAGATTGCCATATACTTGAGCCAGGCAGCTACTCCGGAGCCACTGCACTAGACCAAATGCGCTGGACGGGAATGAAGACAATGGATTTGCTCCCACTTTGTAGTGAATCAGTCCCTTTGACTTCCATGAGGCTGTATAGCTGTAACAGAGAGCAGAATCTGGCCTTTATGTCTTCAACAAACAATAGCTTCCCTTTGCCCAACATGCAGCGGAAGCGATGTTTCCCCCAGCAAATGTGGCAGAAGGAATCTCTTGTTTTCCATCCCCCCCTGAGTCCCTCTCCCTGGTCAACATTCTTCTCTCCTCATCAAGAATTTGATGCAACAGCATTTCAGTAAATTCCAGTCAGAGCAGAAGCTGGCAATTCTATAATAGGAATCTTGACTCACACTCTCACTTGACACTCCCTGAGTCAGCCTTTTCCCAACGGGGCAATGGTAGCAACTGAGATGTTCCTTGGAAAGGAAGCAAGTGACAATCGCAGTCGTCAGCACGTGCCCTTCTCTAGTTAATCATCAGAAACTGGCTCTGAATCCTGCCCTAGGGTTGTTTATATACACATACTCATCTCTTGAGCAACAGTGCACTTGCAAAATGGGAAACTTATGAATGGAGCGATATTTTTAACTCCCAATTTGCAAGAGTGTTGTCACTGAGCAAGGTAGCGTGTGTGTACTATGCCTGCATATGTCTTTATGTACATAGCTACAGATATACACAGGCACGTCGGTAATTGTATACAAATACAAACTCTGTAGATAGAGTTACATTCTCTGCTAGTGTAAACTGACATGACTCCAGGGCCAGATTAGCCCTCCTGTGGGCCCAGGGTTATTAGATTTTGTGGGGCCCCTGTATACAAGTCTTTTTCCTGGGAGGGAGTTTGGTGCAGGAGGGGGCTGGGGCAGGAGGGGTCTGGGAGGGAGTTTGGGTACAGGAGGGGATTCTGACCTGGGGCAGGGGGTTGGGGTGCAGGAGGGGGAGTGAGCTGCAGTTCCCGCAGGCAGCTAACACCAGCAGGGCTCAGGCAGGCTGCCTGCAAGCCGTGGCCCCACGCCACTTTTGGAAGCGGCCGGCTGCTGGCACGTCTCTGCATGCCCCTGGGGGGACGAGGACAGCGTGTCTCCATGTGCTGCCCATGTCCACAAGCGCCGCCCTCGTAGCTCCCATTGGCGGGAGCTGCGGGGACGGTGCTGGGGGCAGGGGCAGTGCGTGGAGCCTCCTTCCCCTTCTCCCCCCATCAGGGGCCACAGAGACATGCCAGCAGCCAGCCACTTCTGGGAGCAGCGTGGGGCCAGGACAGGCAGCCTGAGTGCCCCAGAGATCACTGCCTGTGATTTATTTTTGCAGGGCCCCCCTTGAGCTGAGGCCCCAGACTCCCTGCCTTAAGTCCCTGCCTTAATCCCGCCCTGCATGACTCTGTTGAAGTTAATGGAATTCAGCAGAGAAACTGGCCCAACCCATTCCTCCCCGGGTTCGAGTTCTGCTGTAAAATATTGAAAATACTCTAGGCTGATCTTACTCCTTCCCAGGGTTCCACTGAACATTCACACTAGGCCAAGCGAAATCCCCAGGTCTGGGCACTGCTACGTTTTGGGAGCGTTTGGGTCCATCTCTGTTGTGAGCTTCTGGCCTGCAGTATGACCTATAGGATCAGGCCCATAGGGTCAAATTCACTCTGGTGCAGCTCCACTGAAATCAGTGCATTTACACAGGGGATGAATGTGGTCCTTTAGCGTAAGGTCAGGGTTACTGGGACTCGCGTCAGCTGACCCATGTTAGGATGCCTGCGCTTGAGTATCTACATTGTATTTTAACCCTAGGTTAAGACTTTTCTAACCCGTGCTCGAACATAGGGCTCTGACGTCCACACTGCAGTGCACAGACCCAAATCAAAGTAACCATATCCCAGAGTCCCTAGAGCCCCTCCCCTCCTCAAGTGTGGCCCCTCTAGCCATAGGAATGTGGGTCTAACATTGACCAGTGAGGTACCTTCCATCTGTGTCTCCCCCCACGCTTTCTATCTGTGTCCTTTATTTTGAGCACTTAATTTTAATGAGGCGAGTGCCAGGTGAGAGCTGAATGTTGGACTGATTTTTCGGTTTGCTGGCTGAACGGAAAAATCGAAAAAACCCCACAAAATCTGGTTTGTTTTGAACTAGGGCTGTCAATTAATCGCAGTTAACTCACGTGATTAACTCAAAAAAAATGTATCGCGATTAATCACACTGTTCAACAATAGAATACCAATTGAAATTTATTAAATATTGTGGATGTTTTTCTACATATTCTGTGTTGTAATTGAAATCAAAGTATATTATTCTTGATTACAAATATTTGCACTGTAAAAATGACAAACAGAAGAAATAGTATTTTTCTATTCACCTCATACAAGTATTGTAGTGCAATCTCTTTGTCGTGAAAGTGCAATTTACAACGGTAGATTTTTTTTGTTACATAAGTGCACTCAAAAACAAAACAATGTAAAACTTTAGAGCCCACAAGTCTACTCAGTCTTACTAGTTTGTCTGAGAGATTGGCTGAACAAGAAGTAGGACTGAGTGGACTTGCAGGCTCTAAAATTTTACATTGTTTTATTTTTGAATGCAGCTTTTTATACATAATTCTACATTTGTAAGTTCAACTTTCATGATAAAGAGATTGCACTACAGTACTTGTATGAGGTGAATTGAAAAATACTGTTTCTTTTGTTTGTCATTTTTACACAACAAATACTTGTAATCAAAAATAAGTATAAAGTGAGCACTGTACACTTTGTATTCTGTGTTGTAATTGAAATCAGTATATTTGAAAATGTAGAAAACATCCAAAAAATTTAAATAACTGGTATTCTATTATTGTTTAACAGTGCGATTAATTGTGATGAATTAAGACACCAGGGACTTCGCGGACAATACCAAGCTGGGAGGGTTTGCAAGTGCTTTGGAGGATAGGATTATAATTCAAAATGATCTGGACAAACTGGAGAAATGGTCTGAAGTAAATAGGATGAAATTCAATAAGGACAAATGAAAAGTACTCCACTTAAGAAAGAACAATCAGTAGCACACATACAAAATGGGAAACGACTGCCTGGGAAGGAGTACTGCAGAAAGAGATCTGGGGGTCAGAGTAGACCACAAGCTAAATATGAGTCAACAGTGTAACACTGTTGCAAAAATAGCGAACATCATTCTGGGATGTATTAGCAGGGGAGTTGTAAACAAGACACAAAATGTAATTATTTCGCTCTACTCTGCGCGGATTAGGCCTCAACTGGAGTATTGTGTCCAGTTCTGGGTGCCACATTTCAGGAAAGATTTGGAGAAAGTCCAGAGAAGAGCAATAAAAATGATTCAAGGTCTAGAAAACATGACCTATGAAGGAAGATTGAAAAAATTGGGTTCGTTTAGTCTGGAAAAGAGAAGACTGAGCATGGACATGATAACAATTTTCAAGTACATAAAAGGTTGTTACAAGGAGAAAGGAGAAAAATTGTTCTTCTTAACCTCTGAGGACAAGACAAGAAGCAATGGGCTTAAATTACAGCAAGGGCGGTTTAGGTTGGACATTAGGAAAAACTTCCTAACTGTCAGGGTGCTGATAATCTCCATTATTGGGGATTTTTAAGAGCAGGTTGGACAAACACCTGTCAGGGATGGTCTAGATAATACTTGGTCCTGCCATGAGGGCAGGGGACTGGACTAGGTGACCTCTGGAGGTCCTTCCAGTTCTATGATTCTAAACATGTTCTCCCAGCTCTATGCATAACCCATCAATCCAGCAACTCACACAGGCAATCAATATTCTCTCCTCAGCTGGTTTGATTTACAGTAAACAAACAAATCTGCATAATTCAGGTGCTTTCATGCAGGCTGGAGCCGATAATCACGTGCTAGGGGCACACTAGTGCACTGACCTGCTTTGCACATGCACTGCAGTGTTTGTGTGTGTGCACAAGAAAATCCCATTATGTGCACACCCATGGCCACACAGATCTCTCTCTAGCCGAGTGCACAAGCATAGGGATTGTCACGTGTACATCTGGTAGTACAGGTGGGCCCATGATGTGTAGGCAGACAAGGTCTGAAAACCAGGCTCTGTATGCAGCAGGCCTTGTGCAAGAATCAGTAGGACAAATACATCAGTGGAAGCCAGGGGATGAGACCAGCAGGTATAAGATGGGACAAATGTCAGGGTCAAATTTTAGACTGTCTAATTTGAACAGTATTTCTTTAAGAGCTTGGGCTGTGCTGCTGGGTCTGACAGCTGGTTGACTGCCCACTTGGGGCTCAGCTGCTGACCTCATGTCATGGGCCTCTCCAGTTATACTAGGGTTTTTCTCCTAGTTCCGATCCACAGAGAGCAGTGGGGTTTGCCCTTTCATCCATGCACTCTAAACCTCATGCTGGTTTTCTCCTCCCCACTCTAGGAAATGAGGACTGCGAACAAGCAGTGATCGATTTTGTGGTTTACCAGAACATCCCGGTGAGAAAGCTGAAGCGCCTCCAGCAAATCCTCGAGGGGCACCTAAAGGGGATCCTCCACAAGGACACCAAGGCTGCCCTTCAGGAAAAGTTCCACACGTATCTCACCCAGTTGAAGAAGGACCACTTGGAGCTCATCAAAGTGCTGCTGGATGCACTCCGGGCAGCGAAGCTGTATACGGTGGAAGAGATGGTGCGGAAACGTTTCTCCTTGGAGTTAGAAAATTAACAGAACTGTTTAGGGTTTTTGTTGTTTTTGGTTTTTGTCTAGCTTGATTAATTTATTAACTTTCCACAAACTAACTCGAGGTGCACCTTGGAGAAGATGAATGGTGGGGTAGTGAATGGTGAGTCTCTGACTCATTCCCGATCCTCTCCATTCTGACAGCTGACCTCTGTCCCAGTGTGTGCACGCTGTCTGTCTAACATGGCCGCAGGTGAAGTCTGTAATGCAGGCTGTGCCTCGGCTATCAGAACTTCACTGCAAGTGGAGCTGGATGAGAATTCTGGGAGAAACTTGCACTTTGAATATTAACCTCCCCTCTGGGAAGCAGGGGTAGATGATGTTGTTACTTTATCAGAAATGAAATGCATAAGATTCCAGAGAGAACATGCCATATCTCTTGACTGCACAAGGGTCCCTGTTGCCCTTCCTTGGGCCACTGTGCAGAGTTTAATTTTAAAGTGCACCATATTTTTAAAAGAATATTTAAATGTTTCCTGGGGGAGGCTGCCTTTCACCTTCCAATGTTAAGTTTCTTTCAAAGAGGGGTTTATCATTGAGAGATGAGTCAAGTATAAGATGCCTCTGGGGTCACCAGTTACAGCCTCTTTTAAATGTATTTCTACAGTGCCTTGTTTTGTACAGTTTGTCATGTTTGTTTGATACAGAGAAATGCAAAGATGACATTTGCCTCAGACTCCATGTTATCTTCATCTGGCCTTGTCTTGGAATGCCCGATTTGTGCATTCACATCCGTACCACGAGTGCAAAAACTAATCCCTGTCTGCACCGAGAGGTTGTCTCAATTTCAGCCACCGATGCCAACCTCCATCAGACACCATTCAGCCAGTGCAAACGCTTTCAAGCAGGCACCAGTGCAAATAGCAGCTTTTCCTGTCTGCACTAGGGTTTGCACTGGTGTCTGGAACCAAGGCAAACCCTCTGAGTTAGACGTGGCCCTAGACTCCTGTCCTGTTGCGCCGCTCGGCCCTGGCCTGATCTCTGCCTTAAAAATGCAGCATCATGACAGGCGCCATTTGGTGTCCTCATGGCCTTGTTCTCCTCAGGGCCATGGATAGCTGCCACATGCATACATCCCTCAGCAAGCACTCACATTGCTATGGAGCCAACGTGCAGTTACATAATCTAAATAATGCCGTTCCTCTAAGTCAGGGGCTGAGAGGCCGAGTGTCTCACCACACACGTCAGCTGGGAGGAGAGTTTTGGTTTTTTAAACCCTTAGGGAAGTCCCTGGGGATGACTGCCATATGTACACTTCAGCTGATCTGCCATGACGTCACACAACCACAGCTTCCCTCTGGGACGCATTTAGCTTTTTATAGCTTTATTTGAATGCTTGCCAAGAACAGGCTATGGTTTGGAGGGGGAAGGGAGAGTGGTTTTCCTCCATCAGTGGTTGTTTAAAGGACGCAGAAAATTTCTCCACCTGGAGCAGTCTCCCTGCTGAAGACCAACTTTAAATGGCTCTGAGCACACTGGACTTTGAGCCTTAATTCATCTACTCCTAAACATTCCCGCCTTCCACCCCCAGAGTTTTAGGAAGAATGACTTACAGTTCAAGGAAGTCTGCCTAAAAGTCAGCTTTCTCAGTTCAAACTGCTCGAAGAGTGGAGATCCCCAGGGGACTATTACAATTGGAAACCCATATAGTTTTCATGTCATTGTGCTTGTCATCTCAGATCCCGGTACTAACACATTGTCCAGGCTGTGAAAGTCCCGGCATGTAAGCAGCACTACATTTAGCCACACCTCACCTAGAAAATCAAGTTGCTGAGAGGTGTGAAAAATCTAACATAAAGAGCCAGCTGCTCTCATCCACTCCCTCCTCGGGTGCCCAGACAGCAAGTGTGAAAAATCGGGAGGGGGGTGGGGGGCAATAGGAGCCTATATAAGAAAAAGCCCCAAATATCGGGACTGTCCCTATAAAATCAGGACATCTGGTCACCCTACACCCTCCGGACATGTGCCCAACTCTACAGCTCCCAGAGCCTTCTCCTGACCCCTGCATTGGATTCCCCCAGGGACAGTTTTGGTTGCAGTCAGGAATACAGGGTGTGGAAAGGTCTTTACCAGAAGGTTCCCCTGTTCCATGGGACACTGAGTCAGCTTTACATTAGGGAGAAGCCCAGAACTGATGATCAGGAGCATGTACCACGAAAAAGCTGTAGAACTGGGCTTTCTGAGTAATAGATAATTTGCAAAAAACCCCAACCTACCACATATTCCAGCAAACTGGTGCAGAAAGCAGATCCTCTAATGCAGTGATACTCAGACCTCAGAGGTTCAGGAGACAAATTAGTGATCAACAGGACCCAAAAGAGCCACAGTCGTGTGAATTCATAGTTTCATTTACTACAGTACTGTATATTCATATTTAAACAGTAGGACCGGTTAATAACTTAGTGCAATATATAACTTAATTGGTTAATTGAATAACTTAATTGGTTAATAACCTAGTAAAAGCATCCTGATTGGTTAATAATTAAATCACACAGTGTCTGATGCAAAGAGCCACAGGAGACATGTTAAAGACCCACTCGCAAGCCTCAGTCTGAGTATCACTGCTCTAATGATGTTAGGGCTCTGGGAGGAAATTCTCCCTTCACTGGGCTTGTGCACCATTTAAATCCATAGGGCCTTCGCTCACAAGTCATTTCACCCATAGCAGGCCAACTTCTCCCCCAAACCACCTGCCAGCCACAGGGACCCTTCACGCAACCCCTCTACCATCCTAGTATCACTTTGGTTAACTGGAATATCAGTCCCTCCCGACCCCTTGCCTTTCCCCGCTCCTGGCCCAGCCCTTCCAAATAGGAGATCTTGGAGCTTTTAAGAAAGGGATAAAAAATCACAGAGAAACCACTGATGTCCTGTCCCTTCCCCTTATAAAAGAGAGAGGCAGAGACAGGGCTGAGAATGGTGCAGATGTCCACGGAAGGAGAGTCTCCAGAGCACGACTGCTTTGCAGCAAGGCACGGGCTAGGAGAGGTGTATCTGTCGTTGCTGGGGGTGGAGAAGGCTGGGCAGGTGCTCCCATCTGACGCTCTCCTATGATGCAGGAGGAAGGGGAGACGCATTGTGAGGTGAAAGGACAAGAAGTTGCCTCGCTGGCCTCCAGCTGGCATGCATAGCCTCGGCTTTCACCAGTAAAGCCCTACATGGCCAGGGACCTGCCTTCTCCTCTTGCCCCCTGCCCTGCTGCCCCAGTTGTCATCCGCTTCCGTGTCCTTGGTTTAGAAGAGGGGGGCTGGTGGCATGACGGTCTCCCTAGGGGTAGGGGCTCTCAGTTTAGGAACCTGCTCCCTGCTGTGGGGTGAATCAGGCCCATCTATTTATGGGGGCTGTTACAGGAGAGAGGGGTGCAGAGTGTGATGCTGGGGGAGGGGAAGGGAATTTTGTTCTCTTGGGGGCTTCTGGTTTAGTTGGCTGATTTCTAACCTGGGTCGGGGCCTTTTTTCTCTGTTTTGTTTAAACATCTAACTCGCTGACAAGGGAGCAGTCTTTTTACGCCGTCCTTCTGTGTCTCAAGGGCCCTTCCAGCTCAGGGTTGTAAAGCACTTAATAAAGCCCCATGTCACCCCTGGCAGGCAGGAGCATGTGATTAGACCCGTTGGACCAATGGGGAAGTTGCAGCCCAGGCCGTGCTCACAGTTGCCCAGGGAGTTGGTTGCAGACCCAGGAGAAACCCTCAGATCTCCTGGTCCTGTGATTTAACCAGACGAGCATCTGCAAAGCAGAGGCCAGCCCCGAAATCTGTAGGACGCTCCAAGCCAGTGTCTTGACTTGGGTCCATCTCTGCCTGGTAGGAATAAAAAGCGCATCACTGCAGCGAGCAGCGGGAGAGTGGAATCCCGAGGACCCTCGGCCCCTTGGGTCCAGCATCACCTGCTCAGCCCCAGGGCTCAGCCTATGTTGGGGTGTTGTGTGATGAGGCGCGTGGGCTCCATGGCTTCCTCTGAACTATTATTTTTGCGAATACAGACTAACACGGCTGTTCCTCTGAAACCTGAACTATTATTTTTGTCTCTATGGCGGCGGTGCCCTCGGGATCCCAGTCGTGGGACTGGGCCGCACTTTGCTAGGTGGTCTGGCATTTCCCTGTCAGGATACGGGGCTGGACAGCTCATTGTCCTGCTTCTGATGGAATAAATTAGGGAGTTGCCTGTAGACGTTGGCTCATCAGGGCACAGGTATCACCCAGTGTCACTCTCAGAGCAGCCAAACAGTGCAGCACCTCCATGCAGTATTTGGACAGGTGCCAACCACACACCTTCCTCCCGCTCCGTCCTCTTTCTGCGGAAAATGACTTACCGTGGCCTTACCATCTGAGCGGCTGGAGCTGTGCAGCAGTGGGCGCCATTTCACATGGGCCAGGTTGGTCGCTGATGCGGGAGGGGTTTCCCACTTGGCCAGGAAGTGGTGGATATGTGTCAATTTGGGATAAATTGCTAGGTTTGTCCATTTGTCTCTATTTTGTGAGTCATTGGACTCTGCGCTCTGTGTGCCATGGGCTTTGGTCTCTGTGCATCTAGTTCCCATCACTGCAGCCTCTGGGCATTGCAGACTGACCCTGGTGGTGCTGTGTAATGAGGAAATAGCCTGTTTCTTGGGCTGTTTTTCCCAGAATGGGCTTTGTGCTTGGTATTTACATTGGCTGGAGTTTTGAGGGGCAAGGTTGGGGTGGAGTTGCCTGAAAGGGACACATGGTCATGAATGTGAGAGAATCACCCTATGGATGCAGAGGTGCCTTGCGAATGCTTTGAAAATCCTGAATTGTAGGCATGCCCTGGTGGGTCTGTTTTGGCAGCATCCTCTCCTGGGGCGGGCGAGGTTTGGGTGAGTTTGTAGGGAGGGTTTGTGGCTGGGATTCATTAGGGAACAACTCCATTTCTGGGACTGCTTTGTCAGGCTGGGGTGTGAGGATTTGGGGATCTTTTCATCAAGCGGGGCTGCTTTGGTATTTGGTTCGGTTTCTCGGTTGTTGGTAGGAATCGTGATTACCGCTGGTTTGGGAGGCTGTGTGGGGTGGGGAGGGAGATTCCCCTGTAGCACCTCATTTTGACTTATACAGAATTTCTACATGCTGAAAACGTCTCCCTGCTGTGTGAACTTGCAGAGTGATGGGGGCTGCTCTCTTATTTACAAAGGTCTCCAATTCCCTTAGCACGTATTCCAGGAAACCATTCAGTTTCCAGGAAGCTTCATCTTGCCATTAAATCCTGCATGTTAACACGGTGTCAGTTAATTCAGCCTTCCTGGAAACAGGATGATTTCTCCCAGACCTGAGGTGTGTTAGCTTCCTCCTATGTAAGTCATGCTTCTCATTCCAACCCATTTACTGAACCCTTAGAAAACGGCTCAGCCCACTCCCCATCCACTCTGCTCCTCTTTGTATTTCTCAGGCTGCTAAGAATTGGGAGGGTGAAAATAAAAGTAGTTAGGAACATAGGAACTGGCCGTCTGGATTACATGCCAGCTCCATCTCATCCACTATCTTTGACAGTGGCCAGCCCCAGACCCCTCAGGGAAGGAGTAAGAACCCCACAGCAGCAGATGTGGGATAAGCTGCCCCCCCTCTACATTAGATTTCATCCTGGTCTCTAAAAGGCAGAGATCATCTTAAGCCCCAAAGCACGAGGTTTGATATCCCTTACAACCGTTTTGTTATGATAAATA